CCACACAGCTGCTCCACCCTGTGGGGCCCGAGAGGGCGGGGAGGCTCCGAGACCCTCCATGCTGATGGGAACCTGGTGCTGAATTAAAGGAGCCGTCTGCAAGCTCCATTTGGCAAAGAGCCTTGGCCAGGGAGTGGTGAGCACCTGCCCTGCTCCGGCTCTCTCCAGCAGGGAGGCCTCTGGAACCCCAGGACGCAGGGACCAGCAAGACCCAGGCAGGCTGAGGAGCCCGCGGCAGGCAAGTCAGAGACACTCCGACGCCGCCACCTGGAGGTGCTCTAGTGGGCCTTTCCTTCCCCTTTCAGAGACAAGAAGACACGGGCTCCAGAATCTAGTGGACTGTCACTCTGACTTGGTGTCAGAGCTGCGATCGGGGCTTAGCTCTGCTGTCATTCTTGGCAGAAGGGGATGGACAGGCGCACACACTACTATTTGAGCAGGCGACAAAGCACAGCATTTCTTTAGCCTCATGGTTTTTCTTAAACATTCCTGCAAATTTGTCCTTCTACACCATCACATCTCCTCCATGCTTTCAGTGGAAAAGAAAGCTTTGAGTCACTGTCACAGAGCCAGGCGGCCTTGCCAGGAAGACGCGTGTTTATCAGCTTGGCGCCCTGCCACTCGGCCCCCGGCACGCTTATCTCCAGTTTGAGAGGTTCCTCACGGAGGCAGAGCTATTTTTGTGTGGGCCTCTGCCCCTCCTGATCCCTTCTCCCACCACCCTCAGCCCCAGCCCCACCACCCTCCCCCCAGCCCCACCCACTGAGTCCACCTGCAGGGCAGACCTGCCAGATCCCTACCCACCTGCCTGGTCTGGGCCTGCAGGGCCCCTTTGGGAAGCCTCCGCTGGCCCTTCAAAGGCCACTTGTCCCTTCCCCTGCCCACTCCCCCTGTGCCCTAGAGGGTGCTATTTGGACCCACATCCACACTGCCGTCAGCTGGCTCGTGTGTTTGCCTCCTTCTCAAAGGAGGTCACACGGAGCCCTCGATGTTGGCGACTGCCCCAGCTCAGGGGCTGGCCCCGTGCTCCCGGCCCCACTCCTCTCACTGTGCCCTGGCCCCTCCCTGACCACTTACTGGCTGGGGGAGGGACTGCGGAGGTAGTGGGCCTGCACCGCCCGCACGGTGGCTCCGTCCTCCTCATCTGGGACCACCTGCTCTTCCTCTGGGTCCCCACCAGACGCCATGTCAGCCACCAGCTCCTGCCAGGCAGGGGAAAAGGTGGTTAGAACCAGGTTCCCAGGCTTGGGGGCGGGAGTGCCAGAAATGTCACCTTGGTGGGACTGGGAATGGGAACTGCCTGCTGATACCCAGGGATAAAGCCGGCGTGGACAACTCCATCAGGTCTCCAGAGAGTGCCCGGGCCGTGTTCACAGCCACCTGCAGACCTGGTGCTGAAGAAGGGCGGCTGGGCCCCTTCCACAGGGCCAGCCGGGCAGTGAGGGGAACTGACTCCACCGTAACTGTAGCCACAGGCCCAGGGACAGTCAAATCCCCAGACGAGATGTTCTGTTGAATGGTAGGGTGCTCCGCGTGGGCCATGGCGCCAGCCCCTCCACACACACACACACACACACACACACACTCACACACACACTCACACACGGGCTGGCGCACACACCTGTTGCCTGCTTGGGGAGAGGCGGGACCAGCCTCCACCAGGGAGCCTTCTAAGGCGGCAGGAGTCTGGGCCTTGGCGGAGGGGCCCTCCCACAGCCTCTGAGACACTCCAAGGCCAGAAGGTGGCCCCAGCATGGCGGCTGGCCCCCGACGTGTGGGCAGAGCCGCTGCCCCTTGTTGAGCCAGGTTCATCAGAACAGGGAGGAGCACTCACCACCAGCCGGCCTGGGTGTCCACACCAAGGGCCGAGGACCCAGAAGGAATGTCCAGAAACAGCGTCCAGTGAGAGAGACGGAGCCCTCTCCTCTCGTGGGCGACTTCTCTGAGGAGCAAGACAGCTGTTAGAGGAAACCTTAGCCGCCCTCTAAATTTAGCCTCTGGCCCCGGCTGGCAGGGCTCTGTGAGGAAGGAATGCGGGCTGGGGCCCGTCCCCAGGAGAGGCCTGCTTAACCCTTCACCTCCTGGCTGAGCCCCAGACAGGGGCCTTCAGCTGTGGAGTGGGAGGACCCGCACTGCGCACAGGGAGGCCTCGGGAGGCAGCCTCCTCGGGCCTGTCCAGGCCCTCCTGCCTGGGCCTGTCCATTCAGAGTCCTTCCCCAGACGGTGGGAACCCTTCAGCCCCCGGCATCTGGGAGAGCGGCCGGCAGCCAGGGTGAGCAGCACACTGCGGCTGAGGGGCCACGGCTGCCTTCCACAGAGGTGGCCGCTGTGCCCCTCCACACCCCGCCCTCACTCCAGCCCCGCAGAAGGCCAGCTGTCAACTCTGGTGGTCAGAAATTGCCAGGGCCCCATAGACATTCAGGGAGCTCATAACCCTCCTTGCACACCCCGTCACTAGGATCCCAGCCCAGAGCCCGGGGACCCCCTTCCCCACACTTTCTCTAGTTACCCGTCATCCGTCCGTCCATTTTTCTGTCCCTTTAGACACTAGTTTCCTGCTGTGAATCAGCCATGGCACTTGGCCACAGGGAGCGAGGCACACAGCCGTTCTTCCTCACACACACACACTCACACACACTCTCACACACACACACTCACATACACACTCTCACACACACTCTCACACACTCACACACACTCACATACACACACACACATACTCTCTCTCACACACTCACACACACACTCTCACACACACACTCCCACATACACACACTCACACACACTCACACACACACACTCCCACACACACACTCACATACACACACTCACACACACTCACACACACACACACTCACATACACTCTCACACACACACACTCTCACACACACTCTCACACACACTCTCACACACACACTCACACACTCTCACAAACACACTCCCACATACTCTCACACACACACTCACATACACACTCACACTCTCACACACACTCACACACACACACTCTCACACACACACTCACACACACTCTCACACACACACTCACATACACACACACTCTCACACACACTCACACACACACTCTCACACACACACACTCACATACACACACACTCTCACACACACACTCTCTCACACACACTCTCACACATTCCCCCACACACACTCTCACAATACATACTCCCACACACACACACTCACACACACACAGTCACACACACAGTCACACACACTCACACACACACTCACACACACGCACACTCACACACACGCACACTCACACACACTTCCGTTCTTCCTCTCTGGGTGGAATAGCACCATGAGAAACTGGCCAAATGAGTGAGTGAGCTCACGGTTTATTAGGAGGAGTGAACCACAGACCCCAAACAACTCAAGCACAAGGCAGAAGAGGCCAGAGTCAGGCGAGTTCAAAGGCCGGGGAAGGCAGCAAGGGGTCCGAGGAGAAGGGGCAGCCCACGAGCTGGCCTTTAAGCGGACAGGGAGGGGAGGAAGTGCACAGGGAGGTGTGGACAGAGCTCTGCCCCAGGAAGCGCGAGTTCGGGGTGGGATGTCTTACTTGCTCAAAGCCAAGTAATATAGTCTGGAAGATGGTTTTTAGGAGAACAAATGCTGGAACAACTTAACAGCCAACAGGAGAGCTGGGTTCCCTGTTAGGTTCTGCATCGGTGAGAGGATCTAAGCAGAGAAGTGAAGATCTAAGGACCGTGTGTCAGGACAACTTGGCAATGGTGTTGTGAGGTATTCGGTCTGAAAAATTATTACTTACAATAAGAAAATTCAGTAAGGTGACCAAGTAAATTTTATTTTATTATTTTTTAAAATGATTTTTTGAATTTTTGAAATTTTTTAGTTGTTGATGTACTTTTATTATTTATTTATTTATATATGGTGCTGAGAATCGAACCCAGTGCCTCACACATGCTAGGCAAGTGCGCTGCCACTGAGCCACAATCTCAGCCCCCCAAGTAAATTTTAATAAATCAAATAAATTTTGGGTGTCCATCAAGCCTACTAGTCATAAAAAGATTAATAAAATAATGTTGTAGGAGATTCTGAATTCATAATACAAACAAATATTGGCAAAAGAATCTGCAATACTTATCACTCCCAAAAGACATTTTCCTTAATACACAAAGAGCTTCTAGAAATCAACAACATAACAGATTTAGGGGGAAATGGACTACCCAGATTCAGAAAAGGAAATTTCATACAGCAGAATTTTATGACCCATTAAACAGAAGTTGATGATGCTACAGGTACTGATACAGAAAACTCTAAGGTATTTTGTTAAGTGAAAAATAAAAAAGCCAACCTCACCACAGAATAGAGGATGTGATGCACCATCGTTTGTGCACATTTTATCACGTCTGTGGAAGAACCTGTGCCAGTGGCTGCTCCTACACAGTTGCCCCTGGTCCCAACCATCATCCTAGCAGGTGACCAGCATCTCAATTTGCTTGTAACCGAGGGGATTTCCAGGACAGCATGCCTGTGGGTTAAAAACCTGGGCAGTCCCAGGGGTCACTCATCTCCAAGGTCATCCTCTGTGTTGACTTGTGTATCTGCTACTTTCCAGACTAGATTCTGTGCTGAGGGAGGGGACTCCCCGTCTGCTTCCTGGCTGTCCTGGCCGCTGGGAAGCCTACTAGAACAGGAGGGAAGCCCAGGGACGGTCACACTGGATCTTGAAGTATTTCAGCCAACGCACTTCCCTTCCCCACTAGATCAGAATCCTGTCTCGAGACCATCCCCCTTTTATTGCCAGGCAGCAGCTTTGTGTCAGTTATAAAAGGGGCCCCACCTTAGTGAAGGCCAGGACTTTGGACACCGGCTCGACAGGGACACTGCAGGGTAGGTGACTGGCTCCCAAGAGGGGAGGGCAGAATGCTGGGTCCCTTGGATACAGAGGTACCGCATGGCCCAACCCACAGGTGAGCTCACCTGCCCATCCAGCTGAGGGCGTGGCATGGGGCCAGGCCGGGCAGAGGTGGGCAGGAGGAGGGAGAAGAGCAGAGACCTCGGGCTGGGCCAGGCCCAGGCTGCTGTTCCTGAACTGGTCAGCCGGACTCGTTTGGTGCTCCCAAGGCCCGGCGGGGTCTGGGCAGAGCAGGAGCAAGACCGTGGTGGGAAAGATGCGGCCCACACTGTTGACACTCTGTGCCGGTGAGTGGCCCTGACCAGTGCCCAGGGGCGGGTGGGACAGGAACTGAGGGCTGAGGGACAGGCTTTCCCAGAGCCCAGCACCGTGCGCTCCACTGGGCAGAACTACGCGTTCTGTGTTTGGGTAGCATTTCCAGGCCAGTGCCTGGTCAGAGTGGTTCTCGTCTGCATATGAGCAAGTAAAACCCCAGCCCATTGCTGGAGTAAGTCCACCTTTTACTATGTCCAAAGTAGATCCTAGGTCAGACACAAGATCTGACCACCGGGGACAGAGTCTTTGAAACCAGGGTCGTCCTGGAAAATCCAGGATGTGAATCTAGACACACTCACAACCTCGCATTTTAACCGCTGCCTTAAAACCAGAGAGAGGCACAGTGGTAGGAGTGTCCACCTCTACCACCGAGGGAAACTGAGGCAGAGGGGTGACGTTATTCAACCAACATCATGATCAGTGCCTAACCCACTCGAGGGCCCTTCCCCGGGTCCAAAGCTCTGCAGCTCCCAGTGCTCTGGGCGTGGAAAACTCTAAGGGGACACCCCCGATGGAAATCCGATGCTTATGGGTCAGTGGTCATATCCAAACCAAGTGCTAAGCAGTGAAGCCGTGGGGGAGAGTCCCACAGAGCAGGCGCGAGTTGGAAGGAGGGCTTGGCATTCAGCACCGCTGCCAGGAAGGAAGCCGACGGAGAGAGGACGCTAGAGGTGGGAGACTTTAGGGGTACTTCAGTTCAGTGTGCTTAATCATCACCCTGCAATTCAGGAACTGTCCTGGGCTCCCGGGACCCGGTGATCATGGGGACAAGTGGCAGCCATTCCAGGAACCCCCCATGCCCTGGGAAGTGAGCCCAGAAGGCTTCCGTACCGCGCCTTCCTTTGGGCAGACAGGCTGGCCCAGGACCACCTGGGCCACCACGGGCCTCCGCTCCCTCCCTGCCCTACCTCTCACCAGCCAGCCTGGCGGCCTTTGAGCAGAGGGCCGGCTGGTGCTGGGGAAAGACGAGCTCAGCCAGGACGGCCTGGCTGGCTCCTTCCTCCGCAGTGGACTCTCTAGTGAGCACATCACTGTGGGGGCGCCCTAGGCCCGGGAGTCCGGTGGTCAGCTCATCCTACCAGACGGGAGGATGCTTCCAGGCTCCAGGGAGGGGGCGGAAAGAGAATGACCACCCTCTCCTAGCCGGGCCTCGTTCTCTGTCTCCTGGGCCAGAACTGTCCCTGGGGAGTTCTGCACCCTGCCCCAGGCAAGTCCCCACCTCTGTGGTCTGGTGGCCAGACCTCTGTGGTCCTGTGGCCAGCCGTGCGTGTGAAAAAGTAGTGCTGGCTGGGGAGAAGCCCGGCCCCTGCTCTCCCAGGTGGGAACCTGAAGGGCCCTAACTGAACTGCCGGGAGCGGGCATTTCCTCTCTGCCTGGGGAGGTACTGACCTGGGGACTCACCAGCAGAACCAGTTCTGGGCACGTTCTCCCACATCCTCATAAAGTGCAATCTGCCCTCACCCCCCATCCTCCCAGCAGCTCAGCCCAGAAACATGTGCCCGCCCCTCTCCTCCCCAGCCCTACTCTAGGGGAAGGGGCGGGGGAAGTGGCACTCTGGCCAAGGGGACAAACTTCCCCTTGTACACAGGGGTGGTCCGGCAGGAGGGGGACGGGGAGGGCTTCCTGCAGGAGGCGGAGCTCAAGCTGGGCCCTCGAGGACCTGGGCCTGTCTCCCCTCTTCCTTCCTGCACTGGCTGTGCCCACAAATGACTCTGCTGATGGCTGGTGAGACAGGCCCTGGCTCAGGGACCTCGGGGCAGCAGAAGGTGTCACGTGTAGAGGTGGCTCCCGCAGACTCCCTGGGGATATTTAGAAGCCAACTCGGGTTGGTCCGACTGCTCTGTGTGGCCAGGAGCCGCTGACTCCAAGCAGAGTGGGAGGGGTGCTCCTGCCCTCCACCTCGGCACCCCACTGCCACCAGGCCTTGGGGACCCACCCAGCCCCTCCTCCTCAGCCGAGGAGCTGACGGTGCGAGGCAAAACCGCTTCACCTGGCTGAACCTGGGTCGCTGCCTGTGAAATGGAGAGGGTGGTGTACAGCCCTGTGCCCTGCCTCAGGCTGGCTGTCGACTGGGACGCGCCGTGTGACGAGTGGGAACAGTGCACTCCGCCAGTGCTCCTCACCACTAGGCTTTGTCGTTCGTGTGGCCAGTGCAGACACAGGGAATGGATGAGGCTCTGGTGACCGTTCACCTCAGGTCTGATCTGGCCCACGCCTGCAAGAAATGGAGTTGGAGGTCACTGTGGATGAGCCCCATGTTGTCACCCAGAAAGCCACTCTGTGCCTGACCCTCCCCAACCTGCTAGGAAAAGGCGCCAATCTGTGCACAAAGTCGGGGCTCTTTCACTCCGGGAAATGTCTCATGGGGCCACCAGGCTCCAGTCTCAGGGGGACACCAGACTCCAGGTCTCAGGGGGACACCAGACTCCAGTCTCAGGGGGCCACCAGACTCCAGGTCTCACAGGGCCACCAGGCTCCAGTCTCACAGGGCCACCAGGCTCCAGTCTCACGGGGCCACCA